TGGCTCTGGAGATGCCAGGAACTTACAGGGAGACACCTGTAAGTTGTATGGCTTCAGAGAAAGGGCTAAAGAAACAGCTGCCGTGGTCGCTGTATCGATTCCTCCTCCCACATTGGGGGAGGGAGCCACTCTTTCAGTATTGAGCCTTCCCCCTACACGGCCAAATTTGAATCTACATTGGCCAGGTGAATTCCACTTGCTCCTCCCTTGTAATTCCCTAAGATCCTGCCCCACCCAACTCAAGCACTGCCTGAGGCTCTTTTGACAGAAGGCAGTGAGGGTTGACCTGTGCTGCAGTCTTTCTTAGACAACTCTCAGGGATGGGTGGGCCCCAGGCACCCAGCAGATGACTTCCTAGTGCTCTGCCTTTTGCTGACTGGCCTCAGGCTCAGTACTGGTGCCAAATCTAACTTTGCATTAACCTGAACGCCACTTGCCCCACCTTGGTGATGCCCTGAAATACCACTTCGCTCAACTCAGATTATAATGGGACAACACTAAACTAAAAAAGTTTTGTACAGCAAAGGAAACCATCAACAAAATAAAAAGACAACCTACTGAATGTGAGATAATATTCACTAGGGATATATCCAATAAGGAGTTAATATCCGAAATTTATAAAGAACTCATACAGATGAACACCAAAAAAATAAATAATTCAACTAAAAAATGGGCAGAGGACCTGAACAGACATTACTCTAAAGAGGACATACAGATGACCAATAGATTTATGAAAGATGCTCAACATCACTAATCAGCAGTGAAGTGAAAATTAAAACCACAATGAGCTATCAACCTCATACATGTCAGAATGACTATCATCAATAAATCAACAAACCACAAGTGTTGGAGAGGATGTGGAGAAAAGAAAACCCTTGCACACTGTTAGTGGGATTGCAAATTGATGCAGCCACTATGGAAAACAGTATGGAGGTTTCTCAAAAAAATTAAAAATAGAACTACTGTATGACCCAGCCATTGCACTTCTGGGTATTTATCTGAAGAAATCCCAAACACAAATTCAAAAAGATATATGCGCCCCTATGTTCATTGCAGCATTATTTACAATGACCAAGATACAGAAGCAATCAAAATGCCCATCAATAGATTACAGGATAAAAAAATATGATACAGATTTATGATGGAATATTACTCAGCCATAAAAAAGAACAACACGGATGGACCTAGTAGGTATTATGCTAAGTGAATTAAGTCAGACAGAGAGAGACAAATACCATATGATCTCATTTATATGTGGAATCTAAAGAACAAAATAAAGAAACAAAACAGAAACAGACTCATAGATACAGAGAACTGATAGTTGCCAGATGGGAGGGAGGTTAGAGGCTGAGTGGAAAAGGTAAAGGGATTAATAAGTACAAACTGGTAGTTACAAAATAGTCACAGGGATGTAAAGTACAGCATAGGGAACACAGTCAATAATATTTTAATAACTATGTATAGTGCCAGGTGGGTACTAAACTAATGAGGGGATCATTTCGTAAATTATATAAATGTCTAACCACTATGCTGTACACTTGAAACTAATATAAAATAGTATTGAATGTCAACTATAATTGAAAAATAAAAAAAAAATTTTTAATAGTTATCACCACCTACTCCTGTTGGACAAGACACTCTGCCACTCTGGCCTGGATGCCAATTATGATCATTATTTCCATCTTATGACTGGTGCTTTGATACTATGATGCTGCCATGTGACTCTGCCATTCCCCAACTCCATAGTTCACATGTCAGAGAGCTCAGTCTTGTGGCAGCATTTCTCACTGTCAGGCCAAGTCTATACAAAACAGTCACCACTAAGCTACTGAAAAAGCCAGTGCACCCCTCACCAGTGCATTCCTGGGCACTCCTGGGGACCATCAGCTGATACCATCTACGTCTTACATAGTAAAGACATTTAAACGTCCCCACCTACTTAAGCCTTCCGACCCATTCCTCGAGATGCCTCTAGGGAGGTTCTAGCACCTTCGTCTTTGTGTTCGAGCTTGACGTGCCATTCAGAAAACCCAGATACCCTCTCCGCAAGATGAATCTAGAGTCATGAGTGCCCTGACATAAAAAATATTCTCCCCTACCAGCCTTAGAGTCTACTCTGCCTGCTCCAACACCCTCAGATTCCATTCTCAGGAATGGTCCCCAGTTCTTAGTGCGTATTAGTCCGGTTCTGAAACTCATTCAGGTGTAAGCTACTTCGCCCTGGGGCTGAGACAGTACTTCCTCAGTCAGACAGAGAGTGCTCAGATCTGACCCCGGATGTTGGTCTTGGGGAAGTGAGTGGTGACGGAGGCAGATCTTGGGGAGAACAGGACAGCAGTATGAGGCCCTGTTGCAGGGTAGAGCCTCACATCATCTCCAGGGATACCTCACTGCTCTTCAAAGCAGCCCTAAAGCCCCTCTGACTTTCACAGCATGCTTCAAGTAAGCAGTTTCCTGCGTGTATCATTTTCTTTTGCCAGGGATTGCCATGCAATTAATCCACTCCAATATTCTCATAATCATCGTTTTCCTAATACTGTTTATTTGGCAGAGACTTTGTATAAAATAATGTTTCACCTACTCCTTGCACCTCATCTCAACTAATCGTAGGTGAAAACGTCAGTAATTGTAATGCCACTGCATGCCAAGGTTGTTAGTCAAGTAATTACCATCAGTATAGGTCTCATATTGCCATCGATGCAAAAGTAACTCAGCTCCAAAACAGATTCTTGGGGTCTGCTTTCTAGGACTTTTTCTGATCTCAATTGTTAGAGCCTAGAGCTCTCAAAAGGTAGAGTTTGAGGCAGAAGGCTTTTATCCTGTTACTTACAGGAGATAGGTAGTACAAGAAGGGATTTTTAAACAGATAATTACAAGGTAAGAAAATAAATTCTATAATAGAGATATGAATAATGTCCACTTTACAACCCATCTGAGAAGGTGATTAATTGTACTTGAAGAATCAGAGACATCTTCATGGAGAACTAAAGTAACAACATTCGTTCAGCACTCTATGTCAGGATCTATGCTATTTATATTCATATTTAATACTTACAATAATCCTATGATGCAGCTAGCACGGCTGGCTACACTTTAGAAATGAGACTAAAACTAAACCAAAGATGCTAAGTGGCAGAGTCAAGGCCCATGCTTTTAAGGACTATGCTAAACTGTTTTTCTGGAAGACAATGCTGGTCTGATTTCTAAGAGATAAGGTGCTTTTTGTGTCAACTAGAAGGATAAGGATACCCTGGGCAAAAAGGACAAGAAATGCAAAGGCAAAGAGATGCAAAAGAAATGAATGCTTTAGGATAATAAGAAATAAACATGAACTGGGAGCCATTTGAAGGTCGTCTTCGTCGTTCTGCCTGCTATAACAGTGTACCATGGACTGGGTGACTTATAATAACAGAAACGTATTTCTCACAGTTCTGGAGGCTAGGAAGACTAAGATCAAGGACCCAGCAGATTCAGTGTCTGGTGAGGGCCTTCTTCTTGGTTCATAGATGGTTGTCTTCTCACTGTGTCCTCATGTGCTGGAAGCGGCAAGGGAGCTCCCAGAAGTCTTTTTTTATATAGACACTAATCTCATTCATGAGAGCTCTGCCCCTATGACTTAAACAACCTCCAGAGGCGCTACCTCCTCATACTGTCACCTTGGAGAATCGGTTTAAACATAGGAATTTTGGAAGAACACAAAAATTCGGTTTATAGTAGAGGATGAACAAGACAGGAAAGAAAATATGATGAACAGGTGAGAGAATTTAGACTGTAAAACATAAAAACCGGTGGGCTTTACAATAGGTCCATCAAGAGATCACGAAACTCTGAAAATGAATTATGGCCCTGGACATGAGCAAAGGGACATGAAGCTTGTGCCCCTATATTGCTGTTATCTCTAGCTCTATCCTCCCTGGGCCTAAGTGCCAGATACCCACTTGTCTCCATATGACTTTGGGAAAGTTTCTCAACCTCATTATCTTGTTTCTGTAGGTATGAGGAAAATAATAGCTGCTACCTATCTACCTTGTAAGATTGTTATAAAGATTAAATGAGATAATTCAAAGATAGTACCCGACATCCACATTTAACTTACATGAATTCAGCTATAATCTCTTGCCCAGAGATAGAAATATAAAGAAAGCAAGAGAAGGAATAACAGTTCAACAATATGTGAAGTTCTACTTTCAATAATTGGTAGCTCTCTCTTGGTGAGAAGGAAGGTGTGAATCTGCTGTTCCCATATTTAGTCTCAGTTCCCCACTGCCTTTCAGAGTGTGACTATCTCACAGACTAGGAGTCATTTGTGCTTGAAGCTATGGCATAATATAGTGAATGAAACATAGCACGTACTCAATGAATGTTCAACAAATGTTTGTTTATATCCTTGTTATTATTATTCTCCACCCTGTTCATCTTGCTAGCAGGCTGCAACCTCTGTCAACTGATCTGTCAATTTTTCTCTCTTGGAGAGACAGCTGTTCTATATTGGGGTCTTAGCCCACCATGGCTTAGAGAGGAGTCATTGGCCTGCCCTGAGTTATTTCCTTAATGGCTACCTAGAAGCAGCTACTCTTTCAGTAGAAGTGGCTATTCAAACCTGGATCTGTCCCAAAGTTCTTACATAATTCCCTGCACATATCCAACCTGGAATCAATGTCCATCTCCCTAAATTTAACTCTAGGCCCACCAGATCACTAAGCCCTCTTGTCCTTCCAGCCCCAGAGAGAAAGAGGAGAAAGAAGACATATGAATGTCTACCTCCCTGCACTTTATTTAAGTCCCATCTCGTACCCTGGACTGGAACTAAACTCTTCTCACGACTGCTGGTAGGGACAATAGCCTTTCCCGTCCCTGGAAACTCTT